TCGTCTAGAGATTAATCCTTAGCAATTTCCTTAGCAGTTTAGAGCTGCTAGAAATCTATGTAGCGCTGGTCATTTGACTGCCAGAAAGTGGTTAATTCTGCTAGTAGCCAGAGATTAAAATCACCCGTGTAGCCGTAGGCTTTGTTCAGGCCTTGGCAACATTTAGGGCTTGTTCACACCAGATGCAGTTGTGATGCAGCCAAAATGCATCACAATGCTTTCCTATGGGATTTCTGGTGCTCTATTCACACCAGTGCAGTCCGTTCCGATGCAGTCATAAAACATACTTCTTGCCCTATTTTAGCTGCATCCGTTTGCATCGAAACGCACTGGAACGCTCCTGAAATCCCATTTTAAGTAAAAAATCTAATTTATCAATCGCGGTAAAATCTCGGCAAAGCGCATTGCCGCTGCACAAAGGCATGCAGTTGTGGTGTGAACTAGCCCTCAGGCCTGGTTCACACCTAGTCAATTGTGGTTGTTGAGCTGTTTTCGCACGTTTGTCTATTTTGCTATTACTGATTGTATGTATTAGTGGCTTCAGAATTTCCAGATGTTTGTTTTTGCCACAAATCTTTTGTTGATCACCAAGGTTTCAAAGCACAATACCATAAGCACAGTAGATCATGGTAAATATAGTGGACAACAAAGATTTGTTTCGACTCAAGGACTCCAGTGTAATTAAAAACAAATGCTTTTTAAACTTTTCTATATATCTTATTGGGTGAAAACACAGCTTACACACGATGCTGTCTTTAATGAAAGAGGAAGGATGCATCACCTGCTGTTCAGGAGAGCTGTTTGTGCTCATGTACGAGTATAGCATAGAAAGGTTCCATACTGTATGGGAAAAAAGAACAGCCACGCAATAGCAATGACTGAGAAATCTGCAACCTGGCAGTGGTAGACATGAGACGATCATGTAAAGTAGCCTGTTTACCTTGCTTTGTATTTTTTGAAAAAACAATGGTTGTGGTTTACCTAAAATTATAATGGAATGTATTGCAAGGGTACTTTGCATATAGCAGATCATAGGAAAGCTCTTTAATGTAAAAATCGATATATACACTGCCTGGCTAAAAAAAAAAAAAAAAAGTAATCACCTGGATTTTGGGCAGAGATCTGGGGTGGCTTCAGTTGGTCAGATCTAGGTTCATCAATGTTATGTCCCTAAGAAATGAGGTCAGCTGCCTACCTGAATATACTGATTGACCAGGTTTTTCCATCAGTGTATTTTTTCTTCCCTGATGGCACATTGGGCATATTCCAAGATGATAATGCCAGGATTCATGCAGACTGAAATTGTGAAAGAGTGGTTCAGGGAGCATGAGACATAATTTCATACATGGATTGGCCACCACAGAGTCCAGACCCTAACTATTGAGAATCTATAGGATGCGCTAGAGAAGACTTTATGCAGTGGTCCAACTCTACCATTCACTACGAGCTTATTGAAACAATGCCATGGTGAATGCGTGCTGTAATCAGAGCTAAAGGGGGGCCAATTAAATATTAGTGTGTGTGTATGTATGTATATATGTGTGTATGTATATATATGTGTGTATGTATATATACTGTATATGTGTATATATATATTCATGCAAATGTGAGCAGTATATTTAATGCACCACATAACCTAACTTGGCCACCCTCAACCAGGGTTTCGTCGAATCCTAGGGTTCCCTGAGCGCTGGTTGACTAAACCCCCATTTGATGGTGCCTGCATAATTCTGGAGCCAATGCTACTTAGAAGAACCAGTATCATGATAGAATGATAGATATAATATATAT